TGCGCCCTTGGCTGTAACTCGCTTCAAAATTGAGCTAGAAACTTGATTTTTTGACTACAATGTGTAGAAAAACTTGAGAAATACGATGAACGTAGTAGCTTTTTTTTACTGCCCTAGCTTGTTTTCTGATTTTCCCATTCTTCTTGAGACCAACCCCACAAACCAACCCCACAAATTTTTGTTTCGAAAGAATCTGATAAGAATCCTTTTTCGAAAAATAGTCTAATCTCTTTTTTCCCCTCTTCTCCTTTTTGTCCTTAATGATGATTCGATGAGAAATGGGTCCCCCTCTTTTTTCCTTTTTTCCATTGTTTTTGTCCCCCTTCTTTCTACCGTAATCCTTTTTTTCTAAAATTTTAGATTTCCAAAAAGTTTGTGTTTAAAGGCGCATATGGTTTCATTCATAGTCAGTTGGATAATGAAATTAGAATATTTTTGTTTATAACTTTTGGGACCATCAAGGCGGGTGGGTCCAAAAGTTATAATAACTCAAACCAGATGTGAGAAAGTATAAGCGAATGATTTGATACAATTAGAGGTCTCAAGTTTGATGTGCAGGTTTTGTCATACTGTAGATGGATTTTTTGGATTAACCCCTATTTTCTTAAATAATAGAAACCCGCATTTGAGTTCAATTATCTCGGTTCCTATGAGAGATATCAAAAATTTGTCAACTGATAAAATGTTTCTCATTTTATCAGCTATATTTCATCAGTTGACAAACTTTTGATATCTTTTATAAGAATCGAGATAATTGATCTTAAAGCTGACTCCGTGAACGCTCAACTAGAAGCCCACCCTATACGTTGCACTTTGAGCTTAATTATCTCGGTTCCTATAAAAGTTATCAAAAAGTGGTCAACTAATAAAGTATAGGTGATAAAATGATAAACATTTTATCAGTTAATTACTTGTTTACATCTTATATAAGAACCGAGATATATTAGCTCAAAAGTAGGTGGGTCATTCCAAGGGGAGGAGGGCACAGGAACCCCTCGTTGCTCATCTACCACGTGGCAGATCTCGCTTCTTTGAATTTCAACCCAAAAAGTGTCAACTACAAAAATAAAGGTCTATTCTTGTTCAGTATTTTCTCAAATTCTGGAAAAAATCCAAAAAGTTTGGGTCCCTTTCGTAGAGGGATTGAAAATGCACGCTCTAACAGAATGCATCTCACTCCAGTTGACCATTAACTTTGAGCTTAATTATCTCGGTTCCTATGAGAGATATCAGACATTTGTCAGCTGATAAATCGTTTATCACAACATCAGTAACATTTTATCAGTTAACATATTTTTGATATCTTTTAACAGAATTGAGATAACTGAGCTCAAAGGTTTGGGTAGGCGAAAACAGGTCTATTCCAAAAAGATAGGTACAGTAGGACAACTTTAAGCTCAACTATCTAGGTTCCCATAAAAGATATCAAAAACTTGTAAACTAATAAAATATTTATTATTTTATTGCCTATATTTTATCAGTTGACTACTTTTTGATATCTTTCACCGGAATCGAGATATTTAGTCTTCAAGTTAGCGGTTTGGGTAGGCTTCGTTTGGAGATAATATGTACATTTCAAAAAAGCCAACTACAGTAATCCATCTTGTTAGATCTGCAGGTTGTCGTACTGTATTTGGTTGTGTGGATTTTAGCTAAATCAATTTTGAGCACATTCTCCTACATTACTAGGTGGCTGCACCTAGTTGGATGTGTACTTTCTCAGCAAGTAAGATGTGCAGGTTATTGGAATCTTGACCTCTGATCTATTGCTATTGGCCACTTCAGAAGAAGATCCTTTTTTTTCAAAATTGATGTCTCTGCTAACTTTCGACACCCTTAACCATGCTCTAAATCATTTCACATCTGCTCTTTCTATTATTGTTGTTGTTGTGGACAACACCCCACAATTCTACAGTAATCCCCTCAAGAAAGGGCAGCTGAGAATTATAGAAGTTGCGGATTAGCGCGGATTCTCGAGAATTTGACGGATCGGTGGCTTCTTCTTCTTCTGTCGGTACGTCTTCTCCAGAAAAAGGACAGGCGGCACACTTGAGACATTTTGTTTGGGGTAGAAGAAGAAGACAGTCGAGTGGAAATAAGAGAAGAATATGGTACTAAAAAGACCACCCACGTGTGGAGACAGTTTAAGAGGGGGGGGGGGGGTCTTCTGAAGTGGAAATGACAAAAAAAAATTGGAATTTAAAAACATCATAGGCAATAGATCAAGAATTCGAGTTCAATGAGGTCAAGATTTTAATAATTTGCACATCTTACTTGCTGAGAAAGTACAGTAGGCCAATCAGCACACCTAGCTTTTACACAGAAGATAGTAGGAGAACCTGCACAAGATAGTAAAGTATAGTATCTCAGGATGAGCATTTCTCCAAACAAGTTACAGTAGGGTGACCTGCAGATCTAACTTAATATATTCCAAAAAGTCAACTACAGTAGGGCTACTGGAAGAAATCCCCAATTTTCTATTAAAGCTAGCTACAGTAGGAGGAACCTGCATATCCAACTAGGTGCAGCCACCTAGTAATGTAGGAGAATGTGCTCAAAATTGATTTAGCTAAAATCCACACAACCAAATACAGTACGACAACCTGCAGATCTAACAAGATGGATTACTGTAGTTGGCTTTTTTGAAATATACATATTATCTCCAAACAAAGCCTACCCAAACCGCTAACTTGAAGACTAAATATCTCGATTCCGGTGTGATTGTTACAATAGGATAACCTGCAGATCTAACTGAATAGAGAAAATTTGATTTCAAAATGCCAACATCTCACTACAGTAGGAAAACCTGCACATCATACTAGGCGCGTCCAGATATAACAAATTAGATAAAACTGTAGGGGGAACCTGCAGATCTAACAAAATTGGTTTAGCTAAAATCCACAAGATCAACTACAGTAAGACAACCTGCATACCTAACTAGATGGATGAAATATAGTTTTTAAACCATACTATCTTGCCGCATAGCTCAAAAGAAACTTTTTCCATACTAATATGTCATTTTTGGCACACCCGATCCGTCATTTTCGACGGTGCCTCTGTTTTTAAAGATCTAGATCTCTCAATTCATAATGAGTATACGACACCTCAGATGGTTATCTCTTTGGTATGGTCGCACCTTTTGATTTTGACCTTCCGCTTATCTTTTGTATGATATATCTGATTATATTCCCCAGAAATCCGTGAAGACGCAATAATATTTATGTTCCTTTGCACCCTATCATTAGGAAGAAGGGAGGCGAGAGAGATAAGAAGTGGTTTGAATTTTTCGCCCATACGAATTTTGGTTTCCAGTTACTAGCAAGCGTTATTTAATTTCTCACAATTTTCTGCACATTTTAGTTAAAAAACCAAGTTTCTAGCTCAAAATTGAGCTAGAAGTTTGGTTTTTACACCAAAATGTGTGAAAAACTACGCTCTATCGAATTATATACATTATGATAAGATAATTAAAAAGAAATCTTGTATAAGGCAAGTCTAGAAGTTTGTATCTCAAGGTTAGGTGTCTAGCAGCCATAACTCTCTTCAAACTTGCCCTAGACTAGTGATTCTTGGCTGAAAATCTAGGAAATTGTTTCGCCAATGTGTCCTGACCCCTTAACAACCGTAGAATCCCCTGTTTTCCGCCTCAGGGGGTTGGGGGGGGGGGGGTGTCTCCTTCCTCATTTATCGGAGAAAACCTATTCTGATGATGATGACAGGCGGCACACAAACACAAGGAAGGGGGTTTTGTAATGTTGCGCGACATAATATATCAAAAGCATTTTGTACAATTTACTCTCTCTCTCCCGGAACAATCAGAAGGGGGTACATGACAGATTTACTGCCTGCCCTCCCAGAAATCGCAACATATGTTGAAAGCTGTGTGTCCTTTGAGAGCCGACAATCGGGAGACGGTATTATTATGTAATTAGGACTAGAAAATGATGAATGGAATTGAAGGAGTCAAGGTTTAGAAAAGAAAAGTCAAGTTTTGGCGGGTAATAAAGTAGTTCAACCTTGTTTTTTTTGTATATTCTCAGATTTTCCAACCTTTTCCAATCATATCAGTGCAAAAACCAAATTTCTAGATTAATTTTAAAGCGAGTTACAACCGAGAGCACAATCAGCTAGAGGTGATAATCGGCTGTCGCGACAACGCTGCTCAGGTCAGGTAGGGCGCCAACGCCCTCCCCCCCTTGCCGGAACAATTAATTTTGAACCCATATATCTCGGTTTCTGTGAAAGATAACAAAAAGTTATCAACTGATAAAATGTTTATCATATTATCAGCTACATTTGATTAGTAGACAACATTTTGATAACTCTTACAGGAGCCGAGATAAATTAGCACAAAGTTGAAGGCTTTCTTAGGAATCGAGATATATGGGTTCAAAGTTAAAAGTCCCTCATTTTACAGGGGTTAAGCTTCTTTTCTTTTTTTTTCAATGGATTTCTAAAAATGTTTGCCCTCAATTTTCACAGTTTCCTGTCTTGTCTTGGATACCCGAGTCCCTAAAGAAAGAAAGAGATAATATGCGCCGGTATTCTGTGGAAAGAGTGCGGATAGCGTTCAGCAACACCACCTGTGTCATTCACGTATATCTCTCTGTCTATCTCTCTGTATCTCTCTCTCCAAATTCTAGACAATCAGATTTACAGTACACAAAACCTCCAGAATATGAAGAAAAGGGAACATTTCTTCTTCTTCGGAGACACTGAAGACGTGGAGACTGAAGAAGAAGACGTCGCCTCCACTGTTATCTTGGCAATGAAACAAATCATCATAGTGTGTGTGTGTGTGTGGTGGTGGGTGTGTGTATTTGGGGTTAGAAAGCGGAAGAAGAAAATTCCTTTCTTTACGGAGATATTTAGTTTTTCTCCATGGATCACCGGACACGATCCTTTCTATTTTTTTTTCGAATTTTTAATTTCTTCAGAGGGACAACTTAAAAATCGAAATACACTCCTTGTATCAAAGTCATGCCTTTTTTTTTCGAACCACCTATGTTATTTCCTGAGTTCTCCTGCTCATTTTGGTGCAAAAATCCCATTTCTAGCTCAATTTAAAGGCGAGTTACAGCCATTTTGTTGGCAAGACGCGATCAACGGCGGGCGCGACAGGCGCCACCCTCCTCCTGTCGCGCCAGCCGTTTATCGCCTCTAGCTGAGCGCGCCCTCAGAAGAAAAATAGATGTAACTATCTTCAAAATTGAGCTAGAAAGTTGAAACTTAAAGGAAAATAAGCGGAATTTAAAGACAATTTGGATCCTTATAGTTTTAAGTCCAAAAAAGCTGAAATTTACCGAATTTAAAGGTTTTGAAGTGGGCCTAGATTAGAGAAAACGTTTAGGACCATAACTCGCTTCAAACTTGACTAGAACAATGATTTTTGTACTAATATGCATGTTTAATTACGTTCCATCAAAATATTTAACCATGTAAACCTAAAAAACAAAAAAAAAATACAAAGATTTTGAACTCAATAGCTCTTAGCAAAAATTTGGTACCATAACTCGCTTCAAAATCGAGCTAGGAACTTGGTTATTGCACCAAAATGATCCTTGGGACGTGCTCAATAATGAATAGGCAGTGTGAAGTTTTCGGCGAACTTGTCAACCTGCTTTTGATGTTCCCAGAAAGAGGTTTTTTTAGTTTTCCCAAAAAAGAGGTTTTTGTGATCTCATGACCTCAATGTTATATATTATCCTAATCAAAATAGACATGCACCATCTTTATGCTATTTCGAGTTTTCTGTGAAAATTTGACAGATTTTGGTCCAGTTAGGACTTCGCTAGGGCTCGCTACACACAGAATTTGGTGTCTCCCCGGGAGCCGCTCCCTGCTTCTTCAAAAATGCCCTTGATTTATTGTACCGTTACTTGAAACTAAATAGTTTGAAACTTTAAAGGAATAATCTAGGTTAATTCAATTTCAATTCCTAATATTCTCCAGATTTGGTCCATTCTTGACCCCCCTGAATCTTCCCCCTAATGCATTCTTCCTTCCTTCCTAATTCCATCATAATCGCATATGAAAAGTGTTTTTAACACTATGGATGGGTCCCCCCGAAAAGAGAGAAAAGCTAATCCGTGACCCGTACGGTCCTTTGTACCCTTCCTCTTCTCACCCACAACAAACTCTTCAATTATAATTAATCATCTCCGAAAGAAAAAGGAGTCAACACGTCTTCCACTCTGCTGGAAGTCCCGAAGATTATGTCACTCAATTAAGAACCCCCCCCCCCCCCCCCAAAAGAAAATAATAAGAGGACTATAAACGATAAGGTGTGAAATTGGCGGAAATGCGGGAAAGCAGTCAAAAGAAGAGAAGGAAGAGCACGAGCGGCACATTTAGGTGTGAAGAGAGGGGATTACTGTAGAAGTGTCACCACATGTTGTGCTATTCTTTTTGGCGGCTAGGAGAGAAGAGAAAAGACCATGAGTCTAACAGTACCCGAAAATCAGGAAAAAAGTTCCCAAGTTTTGAACAAGTAATGATTGCTCTAGCGAAACTTTGAAGGGAGTTATAACTGCTAAGAGCATTACACATTTTGCAGCCTGATAAATGTTACAATTCTTAAAAGTTCTCAACTCAGATGTTTATATTTTGATAGCCGTTAATTTAGGGCACATTTTGATACAAAAATCAAAACTTTAGCTCAATTCTGAAGCAAGTTATGATCCTTAATGTTTTCATCAATCTAGTTGCAGCAAAATTTTCGAACTTTGTATTTTTTGGCCTTCGACCACAATTTTTTGAAAACCCTAGATTGAAATGGGTTCATTTTAAAATAACTTAATTCAGCGCGCATTTTGGTACAAAAACCATAACTCTAGCTTAATTTTGAAGCAAGTTATGGCTGCTAGAAAAGCTCCAAGGGCGGCACATTTAGGTGTGAAGGGGAAGGGGATTACTGTAGAAGTGTCACCACATGTTGTGCTATTCTTTTTTGGCGGCTAGGAGAGAATAGAAGAGACCATAAGGCTTACAGTACCAGGAAACTAGAAAAACGAATACCGACTTTTGGTCCAACAAGCATTGCTCTAGCGAAACTTTGAACGGAGTTATGGTTCGTAGTAACACTGCCTATTGTTTGGCATTCTGAATGCTAGAATTTTTATAAAATCTATATAAAGATGTACATATTTTGATAGCCGTTAATTCAGGGCACATTTTGGTACAAAAAACAAATCTCTAGCTCAATTTTGAAGCGAGTTATGGTACCAAAATGTGAAATGGCGGAAATGCGGAAAAGAAGAAAAAACCACGAGCGGCACATTTAGGTGTAAAGGAGGAGGATTACTGTAGAAGTGTCACCACATGTTTTGCTATTCTTTTATGGCGGCTAGGAGAAAAGACCATGAATCTAACAGTACCGGAAAATCAGAAAAAAGAATACCGACTTTTGGTCCAACAAGCATTGCTATAGCGGAACTTCGAAGGTACAAAGACCATTACACATTTTGCAGCCTGCCAAGTGTCAAACTTTTTGAATAATCTACGTTAAAATGTGCATATTTTGATAGCTGTTAACTTAGGGCACATTTTGGTACAAAAATCATAACTGTAGCTCAATTTTGAAGAGAGTTATAGTTATAATTAGTTTCCACAGCTATAATCTTCGCATTTTGTATTTTTGGCCTTCGAACTACCACAATTTTTTGAAAACCCTAGATTGGAATAAGTTCATTTTGAAAAAGCCTAATTTAACGCACATTTTGGTACAAAAATCAAAACTTTAGCTCAATTCTGAAGCGAGTTATGATCCTAATTGTTTTATATAACCTTGTCGATGCAAAACCTTTGAACAAGGTGTTTTTCGGCGTGCTGAATGTTACCATAAGAATAAAGTTTTAAGTTGAAATGTATATAATTCAATAGAGCCTAATCTAACACACATTTTGGTACCAAAACCCAGTTGCTAGCTCAATTTTGAAGCGACTTATGATCGTAAATGTTTTTATCAACCTACTTGCAGCAAAATCTTCAAATTCGGAGAATTTAAGCTATTTTTTGAACTCAAAATTATACTGATCATGTTTGTCTTTAAATTTTACTCACTTTGCTTTAAATTCCACCTTTCTAGCTCGAATTTGAAGCGAGTTACAGTCATATTTCTTCGGAAGGCGCGATCAGCTGAAGGTGATGAGCGGCGCGTCCACCTTCGAAGCGGCCTATCTTGGCTCAAAATTGAGCTAGAAAAGTGAAAATAACATCAAAATGAGGAAAATTTTAAGGCCAACAATTGTGTTCTACTTAAATTTGGAAATCTGTTAAAATTCCTAGACTTTAAAAGCTTTAAAGTACCTAGGTTGCGAAAACCGTTGCTTTTAACTTCAAAACGCCCTATCTTGGCTTAAACCTAAGCTATAAAATTGAAAATGAATTCAAAATGAGGGGAATTTTAAGGCCAATACAATCGGTATATTTTGAACAAAACGAATTGCTACAATTTACAGATTCTAGA